GCATACTTTGAAAAATGCAAATGAGTTGCAATAATGTTAAATCAAAATTAGTTTCGATCGTTAACTGCATGGTGAGTGTCTATTAATATCCTGTACAATTTCACTCTTACAAAAGTTTTATTAAAAAAATAAAGTTATCTATGTGAGAAATAGAGGATATAGAATGAGCGTAAGTTCAATACTGAATTTATTGCACGAGTTGAATAAAATTATATTATGCGAGCCTCTCTGGCGAGCATAATATTATTTTATTCAACGAGTGCAATAAATTCAGTAATGAACTTACACGAATTTAATATTCTATTTATCACATACCCAAAATAAAGACCGTTTAAAGTGAAATAAGAGTCGTTTTTCATTGACGTGTCTATAGTATATAGAGGATATTTGTTTGTTTTGCATGTAAGATTGAAATATAATTTCACTGAGTGAACACCAGATGCAATATTTTCACGAGTGGCGTAGCCACGAGTGAAAATATAATAGCTGGTGTTCACGAATGAAATATATTTCAATCTTATATGTAAAACAAATAAATTTTCTTTTTATTTCATGCTTTTTTTAGTGATTTTAAGTACTTTTTACTGATTTTGCCGCGTAACGTCGCGCATTCTCCTTTGTGACGTCATCACATCATGACGTCATATCATCAGTTTTGAAATTTAGTTCTGTTAAATTTCTCTAATTTTGTTACATTTTTAACATGATGTATGGTGACATGGACTTTCTTTTCCTAAAGAAGCAAAATTTACGTATGACTGCATTTATTTCTGCCTGTTATTCCATTTAGTTATGCTTTTCTTTTCATCCGCATTCACATATAGTTCGGCTACAGTGAAAATTATATTTTATAAATTTCACTAGTGGTTTATCAGAATATAATCATTTGATATATTATAGAGGATATTCAAGTTTTTTCTATAAATACATGATTTCTTTTCATTGAGTGGTATGAAAATAAATATTTCATGAGTGGCGGTAGCCACGAGTGAAATATGGTAATTTTCATGCCACAAGATGATAAGTTGATAGATGTAAATAGATTTTTAACAATGTCGCAGTTTTGAGAAGACAAAAGAGCATGGAAATCTTGAAGTTCTGTTCTATGTATATACATACCAGCTAAATAAATACATTTGTCTAACAGTATCATATTTAACACATTTAAAAAAAGGCATGGTATTCACAATCAATTATATTTGCAATATCAAGCTGTTGGCAAACGTTGCATATATACGATTTTTTATAGCATTATAATATTTACCTATTTCAAAAATCAGCCTGTGATTTGAATGTTATTATAATGATCACATCTGTTGGAGGATTCAAGAGTTATTTGCCAGTCTGATGTACAGTATAGTTAACTCTTTGTTTAAACATGGTAATGAAAGTATTGACATCGCCAACATTCTACGTTCATCTTGAGAGTTCTGCGTATGTAAATTGTGTGGTAACGGAAGTTAATATGAGTATGGTCTGTTTCAATAAACCAGTATGATGCCATCATTGATACAGAATAACAATCATTGAATGAACAAAACTAGAATTTTTTGTCGTGTTGCATGACAAATGTTTTATATATTGCCAATTTTATACAAAGCATTATGTATCATTTATAAATTGAGTTTGTTTTCTTGCTTGGTTATGAGTTGACCATATCTATAGAGCGATGAACATTAAATGGCAAAAAGAAGCATATATTTTACCAAAAGGAGGTTAAGAGTTATGTACAAAACAGGAACATACAGATTTTAAGTAATAAGTTTGTAGCTTTTTATATCATATTTCCAAGGAGTTTATTGTAATCATTTTCTCGATATAAAAATTGGACCCGCTTTGTGAGCCCTTTGGGCCTTTATGAAAAAACTGAACACGACTTTGGTCCGTTACGTGAAGACCTAGTATTAAGATACTTTTTCTCTAATTGGTATGTGCCCTTTACCAAAACTGATAATACTTGACGTTTGATGACACTATTTGACAAATGCAAATATTACGAATATATCTTATATATATCTTACGAATATTGGGCATAAAAAAGAGATGCATGCATAACATTGGTATACATTTTGTTGTTTATTAATTATGTTTAAGTTAGTTAAATAACGCTAGTTCTAAGGCAAGGGTCAAATTCATTTTATCAAGTTTGTGGCTATAACGTTTTGACTACGTGCAGATAGGTTTTAATCATTTCATTAACAGTTTTAAAATGCATGCGATGTTTTCATTTAATTCGATATCGGTTGTGGCCACCTCTGGCGCTAAGTAGTGCATCAACACGATAATTGACGCATAGAATTGACGAAACGTTGAACACTGTTATTTGGACGATTGTTCCATTCCGCTATCAATGCATTTGTCAGTTGGAGGATATTCTATGGGGCGTGATGTCGTCGGACATTTCTGTCATACACATCCCAGATATGCTCTATCGGATTCATATCAGGAGACATTGCTTGCCATTGCATGGTATTGACGTTGGCTGCAGCTAAGCGAGAGCGAGTTATCCTCGCCGTGTGAGGACGGGCTTGTCTTGTTGAAACACAATAACAACATAGACGGAACCCCTCTGCATTCAAGACTTCGTTGATGTATCTCTGGCCGTTTAAGTTGCCGTGTATAACAATAAGCCGGGTCTTTTGTCCACCCATTATCCCGCCCAATACCATGACGCTTCCAACACAGAAACGATCATGCTGTCTAACACAGACAGGTGCAAACCTTTCGCACTTTCAGCGGTAAATTCTTAGACGGTCATCGGCATGACTGAGATTGTAACGGGACTGGTCTGAAAACAGGACAGTATTCCAGTGACGTCGCCGCCAGTGACGATGAGCACGTGCCCACCTAACGATGTCGTAAAGTGAGAATACCGCCTATATATATATATATATATATATATATATATATATATATATATATATATATATATATATATATATATATATATATATATATATATATATATATATATATATATATGGGCGTCGCGCTCTAATCGGGCGTTGTTGTGCGCACAACCGATTGCGAATGGTTTGTGCAGTTATGTTAAACGCGGGGGCGCGGTCCAGGTCGGCGGTCAGAACCTGTCACGTCAGTTAAAACAATTGCACGGTCGTCCATTCACGGAAGTTGCCCTTGGCCGACCTGGCCTTGGACGATCGTGCGCATAACCTGTAAGTCTATAGCGTCTTACAAGTTCATGAACTGTGTTGCGACTGCAGTTAAACGTTCTACTCACGTCAACAACAGATGCCCCACCCAGCAGCAATTCTATTGCTATTCTCTGCTTCTGATAAATGTGGCATTGTGAAAGCTATCAACTTTAGGTGTCAATTACACTAAATTGTTACTGAACACATGTTTAGTGCCTTACATCACTGTCTATCTGACATTGTTCAGCATACACGGGGTTCACGTGCAAAAACTAAAATTTGATGCTGACAATACGCGGTCAAAACAAAACATGTATAGTGTATATATAGTACATGAATACTCACTGCACATGTTTTGATTTAAATCACATATTAGAAAATATTTAAAAGAAATAAAGTGTCAGGTTTCTATTTTTGTTGAGTATAGTATTAGAAGGGGAATGTTGTACATTCTGTGTGTTAATTAGCACAGACATTCTCTGTTACAATTTTTTTTTCAAATAATTACCATTAGGTTATGAAAACAATGTAATTTTAATCATTTAAATTATACAAAATCTTTCACTTAATATGGCTTTATACCAACACGCCTCCAGATTCATGCTTTTTTCCATGAAAAGTTTGAAAATGCATCGTAAATGTAAAACTTTGTAAAGTAAACAACAACAAAAATACATTACAAACGGCACTTGCAAGTTTTCAAAAAAAGGAGGTCATAATATGCAAAAAAGCCATTATTGCATTAGCAATGCCGTAGAAATATGGTGAAAAAACTGCAAAATCGATCATTAAACGCATAAAACTATTATTTTTAAATCTCTTTACTTTTCTTAATAGCTCAGTACATTATTATCAAATTTGATTTTCTTGAAATATTTTGGTTCATTTGAAGGCTTGCAGCTTTAACGTAAAATGTATATTCAAGTACTATACTAAGACTTTATTCCGAAATTCAGTCTAACATTCTGTACACCTCCTTTTTGCTAACAATATTTTAGTCTTTGACATCTATCAGACTCTACCTAAAGTTTATAACCTTGTAAAAGTTGGGTTTCCGGAACTTTTAAAAATGCATAGTATAAGAAAAACAGAATTAAAACTCGAAATAAACTAATAACTAAAAAGATGTTGTACATGCTGGATTTCCCCAGACGTTTGTGCTATGAATGAACATTGTTTACAGTAATACATCATTTACAATATGCATACAGTAAACTCCGCTATTACGATATTTAGGGGACCACCGAATTTATTTCGGTATATCCGGATATCGTTATATCCGAGAGGCCACCGATTTGAAAACAAAAGTCGGGACTGCAGCAACAGTTTCGTTATAAGCGGTATATCGTTATAAGCGGTATATCGTTATATGCGATATCATTATCAGTGGAGTTTACTTTAAAAGCATAAACACATTCAAGCTCCCCGTGCACGCCATACTTCGTAAAACCCGATTTTGATAGTCGACAAATTAATGCAAACCAAGAAAGTAGTTTATTTGTGTATATATCTGCATCAGCTGTTAACATTGACCAAAATATTATAACTTTAACATATCTATGATGTTGTAGATTAAATCTTACTACATGTAGAATACCATAAAGCAAAATTCAAAGTATTCAATATTGATAGCATTGTGAAGTCCCCCATACTTCATAAGAATGAGACAAGTTTATAAAACACTTAATCTATAAATAATCTGATACATCTGCAAAAAAAAAAACATTTATAAATATATACAATGTAATTTAAAGGCCCATTATGATACCATTTTTATTTCACAAAATATTTTATGTTTGGTATTCTGTTACAGATTTCATAGAAAATACTCATTTGCCATACAGAGGAATTATCTTTTGCCTCCAATTGATAAATTTATTTGGAATGAGTATTTTGTATGGAAGTCAAACAACTACTTAAAGTTTGTTTATATTTTGATATCTTTACAACACTTTACTTTATGTTCTTTGTTACTTTTTTCGGTTGTTAAACATGTCACATGCTCTAAATCCATTATTTAAAACATTATCAAACACATGTTTGACATTTCTAAAGAATAAACAAATGTGTATCTGAGGTATAATGTGCCTTTAAAAAATGGCCGCCAGAGCGACATCTATGTAGAAAAAACCTCCACTTCGCATAAATTAAGGTGATGGCCAGTGACCATAATCTTCAAGAATTTTTCTGTGACCGGAAGTGTACACGTGATTTTCACCGGTGGAAGGGGGTGATGCAGGGGGTCCCGGATATGTGGCGCAGTCAGTGCCGATGTTGTTGGCAGAATCTTGACATGTTCCGGAAATCAGCAAACGCAAGTTAGCGTTTCTGTAATCTAATAGAAAATATTTATATAGATTTGAATTCGACATCTCCAATATGAAATTGCGGAATGAAATAATTGAACGAATCGGAAATGTGAAAAAGCGTTGTCAGAATATTGTCAAACAAAGCATACTATTTTACACATCTTGATTATAAATTATTAAAAAAAGCATTTGGAACTTAATGTTAACTATGACAATTATTTGGTTAAAAACTTACAATATTGCTCATTGTTGTTGAAGTACAAAATGACGTGAGACACTTCTGCTTCGTTCTCAAATGCCATTCCCTGGGCTGATTGATAATCTTCCGGTCACCTGTTTAAAGATACATTAAATAAATATGTAAAAATATTTTGCCGTCAGCCTAAAAATCAAACATTCTACAGTTTCATTAACCTGTTTAATAGTATTGTTGTAAATCTCATCAAATATTGTTCATAAATTAGGATTTTAAACGGGAAACCCCACGGTAACACTAAAGTTCGTATACGAATTTTAACATGCAAATGAAGTATATAATGAGCTCGTGTATGCGCTACGTCACAGTTTTATAGTTGCTATCCGGAACACAGGAAATGTGATATTTTCTTGTGTAAACACAGTTTTACCGTTTAAGCTTCACGGTGCCTTAAACCTGGGGTTCAGTAAAAGTAATCATCTCGTAAAAAGATTAAATTTGTATGAAAACATCCGTTACAATTCGGAAATATACCGTTAAATTAGGACTGCCACTTATAGTCATGTTTGTTGATTTAATATTGATGTACGGATGATCCGAAGGCAGAGTTTCTCATGCAAACAGAAATTGTACTTCCCATTTCGCCACAATGAGGTTACCTATTTTCATGCTAATAAAACACATTTGGTTGTTTGGACACCAAAATAAGACCTGGAGTCGATATAAAACCCAATTTATTAATGAAATGTCACTATTTAGTTTTTTATGAAATTTATTAAATGTAACTTAAATGTATAGAATATACAGCTGATGCAGATATATACACAAATCAGTATAGAATACCGTTAGGGCCATCGTTATAGGAGGGCGACAATACGATAGAGCGATGACGACAATACGATAGTGCGAAAATATTATCGCGTTGTCGCCATCGCGGTACTATACTCTCTAAATGGCGTTGTCGCGCAGTGGTATGGTCGCATTGTCGTCATCGCATAATCACATTGCCGTAACGTTTAACTACGATGGCCCTAACGGTATTCCATAATAATGTAACTTTTGCCAATGCGATACTAATAATTTGATTCTATGAGCACAACCATTAAAGGTATATCTCATTGTAAATTGAAATGTTAATTTTTTCAAGAATAATAATTCATTCACTTAAATACCTTTTTCATACTCAGATAAGGAAAAGTCAGATAATATATCAATAATTATATGTTTAACATTTAACTGTACAATACGGGAATTCATCTGAACGACTACATTGTTGGTGAAACCATATTGGGCAAGCCAATTGGACTCAACAACGTCCAATATGGAAATATATTGGATGATCATGCGGAACAATTTAAAAATAATACAAACTATTGAATACAAACCATTTTAATATACAGTCCAATTTGATTCCGTTGCTGATATGTCAGTTGGTACGAGGGTTGTCCAAAAAATTCGTGCACTACAGTTATTGTTGTGAGAGTTATTAATAAAAACAAATGAATTATATATCACTTGAAGGGGACATCTGTCTCCAATAAGAAAACAAAAGAAAAAGCCGATTAACCGGCGTGTCGTGTACAATAATGGTCATTAAGTTACCATAGTAACGATATACTGGCGCAATGCAAAAAATTGGGTTAGTTTATTACTATAATTGTATTAATTTGTTTGTTGCTTGTAAAGTGGCATTTGCTTTTTGTGTTATAATTTGTTTTACGGTCAAAAGAGGAATGATTGATGCGAAGTATTTTGTAGTTTTTATTGTTCTTATGCAACGGATATGTAACATATTCCACCAGTGCACGAATATATTGGACAACCCTCGTCACATAGTGCGGCATTACGGACGGACGTCTGCCTGACCGGTTGTCATCGTCTACCGACTCTCGCCCTCCTACAGAGCTTTTGTGCCATTTAAAAACCAGCCTCCGTGACACTGAACTTGTCCCGCTTTCCCTTTTAAGTTCTTTGTAGGTATCTGTTGGTGTTTTACCAATATTTGCACAAAATTTAATGATCGTCCGTATTTCCAGACGTTTAGCGACTGACATTTTCATGTAATTACAATATTGACGGCATCACACAAATGTTTGTTTACGACCGTTACAATAGGACAAATGACGTCATATTTTCTAGTGACATTTGGAATACGTACACATACTTTTCCCTGAATTTTAACGTTTTTATGTAGTATTTAAAGAATACCGTGATGCATCAAAATAATGAACTAACCAAATCTTTTGTCGTGCGCCGGTATTACGTTACCAAGGTAACTGTATGACGATTCGTTTTCACAACATGCCGGTTACACATTTTATCTTTTGTTTTCTTATTTGAGAAAGATCTCCTCTTCAAATGATATATAATTAATGTTTTTCTATCAATAACTCTCACAATAATAACTGCAGTGCACGAATTTTTTTGGACAGCCCTCGTATCCATGGATCGGGATAGAGAAGCTCGCAAGACTTTGTGACAGAATAATGATTCGCAGACTCACATCCCACCGTAAGCTCACACATAACAGAATAAAGAAGAAGCCTATTAAAAAGTACTGACAACAACAACAAAAAACAGAAAAGACAGCTTTGATCTTCATATACCATTATTAATAAATTAGAGGGCAATTGAGAAGTATTGTTACATGTTTTGATAAGTTATTGACACTGCGTTTAAGTTAGTACATTTTATACTTGATAAATGCAGCTTTAAAAATATATAGTCATCTAATTCGCTTGAATTGATGAATTATTAATGAAACGGTAAAAAACCTTTCAACGAACAACGTAAACTATTAGCTAGGCCAAACATGTAAATGTTTATTCATGAATGTGTTATTCATTTTATTGAAAGCCACACTTGACAATGATGAAAATAAAATTGTGAATTATGATTAAATAAATCATTTTCGCGAAGAAAAAAAAAACAGTTGGGGAGTACGTGGAATAATTTATTTTTCCCCAATGTGCGTGGTTTTCGTCCAATAAGTGGAACATATTGAGAACATTTTATTTCTCTCAATATAATTATGCGTCGTTTGTCGTTTATACGTGTAACAATTTTTTGACGTTCTCTATTGAAAATTATCGAAATATATCAAATTTAAAACAAATCCGATAAGACAATACGCTTTCTTCAGCCATGTTTAGCATACATTGGCATTTGAAAATTGAAATTAAAACAATACTGAAGCATAAAGGTCCTTCAAGAGTTAGAGTGAGAGTGAAATATTAAATAAATAGTTTATCCATTATTGAATATGATAAAATACTTGCCCTAAACTTATCAATTTTTATGAAAATTGTGTTATCTGAATCTAATGTGCTATTGCTCATATAATCTATATTTATTTATTAAAGGCACATTATGCCTCAGAAATGAATTAATTTTAAACTTGTTCTTCTATACAAAGAACAAGCACTAGTTTAATAACGTTTAAATTATGTTTTTAAAGCATGTAATTAAAGTTGCTTATTACTTGCTTAAAGTAGCACTGAAAGTGAATTTATTTGTCATATTTGTAGCGAAATGTAAACATTCAAATGACTAAATTACTATAATTGTACTATTGCCAGCAAGCAACAGAAACAAAAGATGGATCAGGTAATTGGCCAATGAGTAACCTTTTGTAACAATATAACAAAACACCCAAACTAAAAGACATTGGATAACTTTAGATAAAACCATTCCTGTGGCATATTGGGACTTTAATTGAATGTAGTGAATAAAACCGAAAACTTATAAGATTTATTTGAATAGACTTGCATTTTGCACATTCTAATGTACATCAACATAATCTCGACTGCACATCGACAAGAACTCACATCATCAAGAACTCTAATGTACATGAACAAAAAACTCGAAAACGAATATTTTTCTTTAATCCTTTAGAAGGGCAAATTCGAGTTGTACGATAACGTTTAATGTATCTGAATGTAAATGTATGTGTCTTAAAAGAATCAAAAGGTAAAAAAGTGCATCTCGTACAAAATCACTTTATCTGTACCTTTTGCTAAACGGCAACAGAAAGTGGGATATAGAAACTATAAAAGGACGCCAAAAAAATAAAAATAATAAAATAAACAAACATACAAACAAACAAAAGAAACCGATTGAGTGAAAAACATAATGTGTATTGTAATCAAATAACTTATCAAATATTGAAAAGCTTAGCCTGATGTTAATATTGATCAGTCTTTCAAAATTATTGATGTTATAGAAGGGTAAAATCAATATTTATGAAAAATAGGGAGAAAGAATCGTAACGTAATGCCACAGATACCATATTCAATACTTAACCTGTATATAGTTTTTCACAGCACAGAGGGAATGTTATTTTTGAATTCTCAAATCAATTCACCATAATTTGTTAGTTTGTTGATGAGCAATCAATAAGCTAACCAGTGTTTGAAGCACATGTTTCATTTAAATTTCATCGCATGACGCGTTGATTTATCTTTGTGTTGTCGCCGGGTCGAAACCATATGGGCCATAACGTCTGCGCACCTGCTGGTTTGGTTGTACAGGCCGCATCAGGGATAAATTTTCATCTGAATCTTCTTCGACCTGTTCTTCGTGCAGTGGTGGTAAATGGAGATAACAAAACTGTCCAGGACATCATCTTACAAAAAAAGCTCTTGTTAGCGCCATCCTCCCGAGTTAGTCACGACAGGTCAAACAACCGTAACTGTTAACTTCCGTGACATATTCGGTAATTGTGATCCTACCTTTGCTATGATGATGACAAAACATATTTAAAACACTCTAAAAGAATTGTTTAGTTCGAAACCAGCATACTTTAAAAATGCAAAACAGTTACAACAAAGTTAAATCAAAATAAGCTTCGATCGTTAACTGTATTTCTGTGATTGGAGAAATGTAGCAACATTAAATCATTTTTACTTCCATGTACATATTTGATGATGCTGACGTCGTAAGAAAATGTATCTGCACAGTAACGGAAGTTAAATTCCAAATGGATTAAATTCTTTGATTGCAAAAAGAAATAAATGTGTTTTTAACACAATGTTTTTATGCATAAGCATATACAGTTATTACCAATCGTAATTTTCATTGACAATATACAGTGTGGCTAAAACAAGGTTGTTATTAGAAATTTAAGCAAG